AACCGTTAGCCTTCTCCGGTCCTTTGCATTCAAACCAAGAACCATTGTTGCTGAAACACTAGTATTTTAATAGTATGTACAAAATGCCAAAATCCCACATCAAAACCATGTATTTTAGTCTCTCTTTTCATATGTTCTTATGTATTGATCAAGAGAATCTTGAACGTTTGTGGAAAATGAAATCGCTCATGCGCCTTTCGAATTAAGCAGGGGGAATATGCAGAGACAAAGAGGCATATGTAGGGTGAGGGACCGAAGCAGGCTGGAATCTTCATATTTGGATATGACAATTGCCATCTAACTCAGTCGGGCTATTCCTTTTTATTTGTTCATATTTTAAATATCCATTTATCGATGTAATTGAACGCAAAGTGAATTTTCTCTCTTTCAAGTCTTGGGAGGGATGGTTAGTATTGTCGGAACCGTCTTTTGGGTTGGGCCCGGAATTAGGTTTCGATTTGAAATGAGTGGATTAGAGTCACCACCGATCACTTTAAAAAACATGTAGGTGGATCGGACACCATCTTACCTGATCTGTATTATACCAGAAACGTATTGGGTTCGAGAGTCGGTTACGATCAAGGAAGGATTAGCACCCTTGAGCCGCCCTTTCAGTACCAATTAATTTATCGGTTGTCTTTAATTGCGAAAATTGAAAATTTAAATCAAAATTTAAAATATTCGATTCGAATTATTTACCTTGGATCGATTAAGATTATTACTGAAAAAGGCAAAAAAAACATTAGATAAAAAAGGGCAAAAAACATAAAATAAAAAATATATAAAATAGTAATAAAAAAGGAATAAAAGGAAAGAAAAGGAAATAAAGACTAAAAAAAGTAAATAAATAAAAGTAAATCAATGAAATGAAATAAAATAAAAATAAAAAAGGAAATAAAATAAATAATATAAAAAAATAAATCAAAAAAAATTATTTCAAAAGTAATAAAATAGAAATGATATGAAGTAAAAATAAACAATGCTAGTAATAATTAAAAACATGATAATAATAAATAAAATAAGAATTTGGGGGTCAGATTGTAAAAAATGTGAAATATAAAATGGGACCGAATTGAAACAATTGAAAATCCAGTGGCCAAATTACAACTGGTGACTGAACTGCAAAGCGGATCAAGGTACGAGGGATGACGGAGAGGATTTAAAAATCCTCTATTTGCACAATGGTCCCTCGTATATAAATAGGTCAAAACACTCTATCACCTTCATTTCTCACATTTCCACTGAAAATCCTTCTCCCCTCTAATGAGAGAAGTTCTCAAATTCTCTCAGCCAACCCTTCCCGGCCACCGATTGCCGCCGCTTCCGGCCGCCATTGGCGGCGGCTGACAAAATATAAACACCCACAATGCTCTCCTTAATCCCATTGTCCCAGATCTGAGCCCCAAACCTCACAAAAAGACCCCAAGCAACGTAAATCTGCGCCCGGAGATCCGACTTTTTACCTTCGCCGATGGTGACTCCTCGGTTCTCTGGTTTCCGACGCGGTGTCTTGACTTTGCTTTGTTTTTTATATTTTGCTTGGATTTTTGCGGGGCTTCGGCCTTTGGTATTTTCTGTGGTTTCGGTTTTGTGATATTGCCTTTGGTTGTGTTTTCTGTTAATATCTCTGTTGTTGTTTGGTGTACTCGTTGGTTCCGTTGGTTTACTGCTTGGTTTGTGGATGACCTGTGTGTACCGTTTTCTCTCGATGATGGTCCCCCGTCACCGTGACTCTGTTTGGTATTTATAAGCCTTCATCGGCCGTTTGTCTGTTTCGAAATACGGGGATCTCGTGGCCGTTAAGGCCGGTCATCCCGGGATGGGTCAATCCCGAGATTTTCGCCGGCCGTTTTGCACCAGACCCTTTGATTCCCTCCTTGCGCGACGCTGACTGTGTGATTCCCCTAAGTAAGAAAGCCTAATCTGCTGTTGGGCTGGTTCAGATCCGTTATTTGGATTGGACTTGGACTCTAGACTGAAAACAACAATAAAAAATAAAAATAAGAAATGAATAAAAGGGAAATAAATAATAATAATAATATAAATAATAATAACAATATGTTATAAAAATATTTTCAAAAATATATAATATATAAATTTCAAAACTATATATTATACGTGTTTTCAAAATGATTTTTTTTAAAAACTATACAATATACATTTTCAAAAATGTTTTAAAAAAACTATATATTATATATATCTTCAAAATATTTTTAAAAACCATATAATATATAAATGTTTTCAAAACGTTTTCAAAACTATATATTATATAAATTTTCAAAATGATTTTTAAAAATCTATATAATATATAAATGTTTTCAAAATGCTTTTAAAAAATATATAATATATATTTTAAACTATAAATGTTTTCGATTTAAATTTTAAACTTTCGTAATTAAAGACAACCGATAAATTAATTGGTACCGAAAGGGCGGCTCAAGAGTGCTAATCCTTCCTTGACCGTAACCGACTCCCGAACCCGATACGTTTCTGGTACAATGCAGATCAAGTAAGATGGTGTCCGATCCACCTACATGTTTTTTAAAGTAATCGGTGGCGACTCTAATCCACTCATTTCAAGTTGAATCCCAATTTCGGACCCAACCCAAAAGACGATTCCGACAATATTATATTACTATATATATATATATATATATATATATAATATAAAAAATAAAAAATAAAATAATTCCAGACGAAAATGAGTGTCTACAAGTATGTTAAACAAATGATTAGCGGAAACAGAAAGAGTTAATCAGTAAGATTCCATGTCTCATTCTATGACATTCAGACAAAGATCGTCAATAATTAGATAAGCAGGCTGTCTTATTTTTAGGCGTAGAGCCATAAAGGCAGCTTAATCGATCAAGATTCACTTCCATCCTCTGTTTTGAAAACTGGATCGGACTGGCCGGTTCAATCAGAAATCGTTGTTTAGTCCGGTTCAATTTAAATCGATTAAACCGTTATTAGTAAACCGGTCAGAACCGCTGAACCATTCGAATCGGACCAGCTGAAAACCGGAAAAACCGAGAAAACCCAGGATTTTTGTTTTTTTTTAAAAAAATTAAATCAAACAACGTCGTTTGTTAAACGAGCCAAGTCGAACTCGAGTATTGCTGAGCTCGACTCGAACTTGAAAATTTAAAAGTAAGCTCAACTCAACTCAAACTTACAAGCTAAAAATTATCAAGTTCAACTCAAACTCGAAATATAATATTGAAATTTGAACTCAAAAAGGCTTGAACTAAAAAAAAATTAGAAGCTCGGTTGAAGCCTAAAATTCGAGCTTGATTGAAGTGAAAGAATAGTTCACTCAATGCTCACCAAAAGGCTCTATGATTTTGAATGCTAAATTACCTATATTATTTATAGAAGTTAGTTGTGATGCTCTTTTATGTTTCTTAGCAATGTGAGATTGTTTTGTTCTCATATTTTTACTCTTTAGACTTTTGGGATGCTCTTTTATATTTCTTAGCCATGTGAGATTGTTTTAAAAAAAATTAAACCAAACAATATCATTTTGTTATGATTTTTAACCCCAAATTTATTTTTTAATTATAGTTATATAATTATATTTATTATTTAATATGTTTTACCTTAAATATTATGTTGTAGTTAATTTGAATCATTTTGTTTCACTTGATTTTATGGTTTTTAACTTATATATGTTATGACTTGCTTTGAATATGACTTGTGATATAAAAAATTATTTTTTATTAAATATTTTTGGTATTTTTATTTAATTTTTTAAATAATTATGACGTTGTCTGGTTCTTCCGACCGGTCAAACCGATTCGACCAGTTGAATCAATAAACCGATAACATGACCGGTTCGTTAACCGGTCCGGTTCTAAAAACCATACTTCCATCTTTACTTGAAATTAAATGCGAGTGTTTCTTAATAATATAATACAAATATTAATATAACTTTATTTTTATCACATTTATAATATGAGTAATAGAAAATATATTTACCCATATTTATTTAATAAACTAATTTCCCCAATAATTATTGATTAAATATTTTAAATAAATTAATATTTAACTTATGATGTTGTATATGAAGAAAATTAAATTTAAAAAATTATTGCCATAACATAAGAATTTCTATAACATTTAATCTGAATTAATAATATAATAATCAAATACATATAATTATAAAAATAAATACATTTATAATTGAAGTTAAGTTAAAATATTATAATTATTAAAAAGTAACAAGTTGTACCAAAATAAAATACGAAGAATTCAACAACCATTAAGGCTTTGAATTTTGGTTACTATACTGTTGGGTCATGGAAGATATTTTTATTTTTGTTACTAAAATTAAAATATTTTATTTTTGTTGAGAAAAGAATATTTTGAATCTTTGATCATCAAAATATTATATTATTAACAATAATAATGATAGCTAAAATAATATATTTATATATATATATATATTTAATAAAATAGTATTAATAAAAAATTAATGATTAGAGAGAATATTATTATCTTATATTCTATAAGGTGTGTTTACATTGTTAATGATTAAAAAATTATTAAAAAATTTATATTATAATCACTATAAACTATTAAAAATAATAATATATATTTATATAAATTTATTTATTTTTTTCTGAAATACTTCACCCAATTAGCATATAAAAAACCTAAGACTATATGTATGTCCCTTGTTCCCATATGTAATGAGGTAAGGAGAGGTAAGATAGTAGGCTGCCCCCAACATCAGGTTGAGAGCAGCTTCCGTAGAAGACCTCCGAATTATAAAATGCCTTCCGTGGGACTCGATCCCACGACTTCAAGGTCAAGAACCTTTTGCTCTACATATATCTTACTGAAGATTTAAACCAACGGATGAGATTGCAGGTAATTCTGACCGTCCGATCACTTCATCTTGAATCTAAAGGTCAAAGTACCTCTAAAGTCAGCAAAGTCAATTTGCTTTGGGTGTCCCAGAAGAAGAAGATACCCTTTTCGTCCCTCTCCCAACCCAAGCTTTCACTAATAGTGTTTAGCGATACAAATTTTCAAAATTTCCGATAAAATAGTAATTATTTTATCAAAAATCAATCGTTAATAGCTTTCTGTTTACCCCCCTTCAATTCTTTGCCGAAAAGATTAGGGAATTTCCGCTAGGGCTTTCGAAATTCGAGGAACCGTGAAGGAGCAACGGAAGATTGGTAAGTTTCATGGGGTTGTTATTGAGTTTTTAGAATTTGTTGTTTTTGGTTGGGCTGACGGGAATATGGTACTGGGTTAGGGTTTTGTTGTACCGATGTAAGGATTGGAGCTTTGAACTAGTAAATTAAACTGTAAATTTTTCAAATACGAATCAGACCAATTAGCTTCTCTTTATGTTGCAATTAATTTATCATGCATGATTGAAAATGTTAAATGTGTCTATCGTGTTCTCTTTTTTGTGTTTCTTTTTAGGGTTAAACCTTAGAATTTTTTTAAATGGATTTTTTAAAATGATAAACAATTTGGTTAAAGAAGTTTGGGATTTGGGTAAATGCTTGTAAGAACTGATTTAATTAAACTCTTAATAAATTCAATTAAATATCATGCATTTCCTTTTTGCTTTTGGTAAATTATAAATCTGGGTTATTCACGGCGGAATGGAAGACTGTCAATTCTTTATTGATATTCTCTAGGGTTTAATATGGTGAATTTGGGTCTTTCAAAAGATGATTTTGTTCATGAAAGTATACAAAATGGTAAGTTTTCAGTATTAGGGTAAATGCGAATAAGAGTTCATCTAATTTGCTCAAAACTACTATCAAACTTTACTTAAATAGTTGTATCTAAGGGTGGTGTATAAAGTTAGTCTAGAAATCCGATGGGATAATTTGTCTCCCATGGTTGATGTATGTTTTGTGATTAAATCAGTGGCAATTAAACGAAGGGAAGTAAATTTGGCTAAGATTTTGGAAAAGAGTGATAGGTTTGCAGGAGGTACTATTTGAACCATATGAGCCTCTCGGTGAATCCAAGGGTTCTGGTAGCTCAGGACGAAGTTGATATGTAAGTTACTGCTTCAGAAGATTCAAGTGCCCCAACAAGGAAATGTATCAGTTTGACTCTGATAAACATGACACTTTTAAAAATGACACTTTTGGTGTTCCTATACAAGTGCTTACCCTTTCAAACATGTCACATTCTAAAAGAAAGGATTTGGTACATTGTTTGAGGCATGAACTGGAGCAGATACAGATGCTTCAGAAGAAAGTTGAGTTGATAAGGACCGATGGGGTTGCTGTGTCATCCTCCAGTGATATTCTTAGTTGCAGCAATGGGCAATGCTTACCTTTTGTTAAGGATATTCAGAAACTGCCCATGATGGCTTCTGAACCGGGGAAGAAGAATCGGGGTTCTTCAGGAAAAGTTAAGACTGCAAAGCAGGTTTTAGAAGCAAACACAACAAGTATTTTCTTGATGAAGCAATGTGAGGGTTTGCTGAAACGGTTGATGGGACATCAATATGGGTGGGTTTTCAATGAACCTGTAGATGTAGTGAAGTTGAATATTCCTGATTACTTCAATGTTATAAAGCACCCAATGGATCTAGGAAAAATTAAAAAGAAGATAGATTCAGGCGGATATGCAAGCCCCTGGGAGTTTTATGATGATGTGAGGCTTACTTTCAGCAATGCAATGACCTATAACCCCCCTGGAAATGATGTCCATGTTATGGCTGATGCCCTTAACAAATTTTTTGAAGTCAGGTGGAAAAATATTGAGAAGAAGTTGCCTGCTGTTGCTACCCAGTTGATTCAAAGTAAAGCTCCTGCTGAGGATGTAGAAACTTCTAAGACAATACTTCCTGCTAAAAAGAGGAAGACGATCTCTGTCACCCAACATGTTATACCTGACCCTGTGAAGAGAATGACGGATGAGGAAAAACACAAGCTACGCGTGGAGTTGGAATCTTTACTCACAGAAATGCCTATGCATATAATTGATTTCTTGAGGGAGCATAGTTCAAATGGAAGGGATTCAGAAGAGGAAGAAATTGAGATTGATATTGATGACCTCAGTGATAATACCTTGTTCATATTGCAGAAGCTTTTAGATGACTATTTGCAAGAGAAACAAAATTGCAAATCAAGAGCTGAACCTTGTGAAATTCAGGTACATAGCCATATAAAGGCTGAAAAATCAGTATGCTTACTATTGATGCTTCGAAGTAGTATATATTTATGAACTGGTTACCTACATCTAAACTCTTATTTATTTTTCTTTGCTTTCTGGGAAATGGTTTTCTGATACAGCTAATGAACAAATCTGGACTGCACAGTTCACCCATGCAACAAGGCAGAGGTAATCTTTCAAACCCTTGGCTTGATATCCCAACCTCTGAGCTATGTTCTAAGACTTCTGACTTCCTCTGTTTATCTTCTGCATTTGCAGGGGATGATCAGGCTGATGTTGTTGTTGATGCTGGGGGAAATGAGCCTCCTGTGTCAAGCTATCCACGTAAGGAGATAGAGGAGGCAGACCTTAGAAGCATCAAGTCTGCTGGGTCTGGCAGCTCCAGAGGTAATTGTATTTTCTCTTTATTTTTATTTTTGGTCCTCATCTTGTCAAATAATGAATCCTGAGTCTGCTACATTCTTTTGGATCCATTTTATCAGTTTTCTGTGCTGTCATTTACCTAGCAGCCTGCATATGGTAGGCATGCTTCTTCTTCTTCATTTTTTTTAAATATAGAAACTCTTTGACAAAGAATGGTTTTTGCATTCAAACAATTTTAGGATAATAACAATTTCTTGACCCCCCATGTGGTAAATTACAACCTTCTGTATTAACTTCTCTTTTTCTTTATCACTTTGAATATTGCTAATATTTTTCAAGTTGATTTCTTTAGTTTCTCCTATTTTTTACTAAAATTTCCCCAAATTATGTTCAGTGCAAGTTTTTCTTATGTGACCAAATACCTTTTCCATGACCGGTTTCTTTTGTATTCTTTGCAGATTCAGAATCTGGCAGTTCTGACGATGAAGCTGTTGCTACTAAAGCTTCTAGTCCGGTGGGTACACATAAGGTTTTGTGCTGGTTACACTTGGTTTTAAATAATAATACTAAGTTCTTTAACCTCATATTGGTGTGTTTGATCCACATTACAGTTATCTATTCCCAGGGGTTCAAGTGGGCCAGACTACTTTCTAACTAGCATCTTACTCTGCATTATCCTTCAGGTACTGGGTGCTGTAGATTCCGGAACCCAATTTGATGAAAAAACGAGTGTTAACAACCCTCTTGATAGGAATCGTGAGTGTCTAAATTTATAATATTTGTAATTAGTCTCAAGAAATATTGTACTTCTGTTCTTAGTTTACTTGAATGACGAAAAGCCATGAAATTATATATATATATATATATATATATATTTTTTTGCATATAAGCATTGTTAATCCATTGGCTCTTGTAGAAGATGTTCATTTCAATCAGCTTGAGCAGACTTCTCAGGCAAAGTCAAGTTCTGTCGAGTCAGATTGTCACCAAGATAGTAAAATCATCAAAGATCGTCAAAGGTTTATTTATTTAAAGCTGTGTCTCACTGTTTATCCAATTAAAAATTATAGGGGAGAGTGCTCCAGTTGAGAGACAGGTGTCCCCTGAGAAACTCTACCGGGCTGCTATATTGAAGAATCAATTTGCTGATACCATTCTAAAAGCTCGAGAGAAGACGCATACTGCACAGGTTAGTTCTAACTTGGTTTTGTCAAACTATTGTATGCCTATTCCTTTTTCAAGCTTTTTTACTTTGTATCAGGGTGAGAATGTGGATCCTGAACAACTGCGCCGTGAGAGAGAAGAACTTGAGCATCAAAGTAAGAAAGGTTTGAACTCCAAGTCCAATCTAGTGTTTCTGGCTTTTTGAAATGCAATTTTGCTCAAGTTACTATATGTGTGTTTGCTTGTCTTTGAGGACAAGTTTGTGTATTTATATCTAGTATTTCAAAGCGACAAATATGTTATTGTCGGCTAGATGAGGCACAGTTGCTAGCCGAAGCCAAGGCTGCTGAAGATGCTCAAGGACGAGCCGAAACCCAAGCTGCAGCTGAGGCCAGACGGAAAAGGGAGCTTGAGAGGGATGCCGCACGGCAGGCATTGTTGAAGGTACAGGAATGCGTCATATTAACAATTTCATAATTTAGCTGCCTTGTTTTATTATGGACTTAATATTCCACATTTTTTTGTAGATGGAAAAGACTGTTGAAATCAATGAGAATTCCAGGTTTCTCAAAGACTTAGAAGTGCTTAGAGCTGCCCCTGCTGAGAATCTGCATGGCTCAGTCGACGAAACAAGCCCAGAACATTCTCAGGGTGGCTTGGGTAGTTTTAAGCTCGGGAGCAACAACCCATTGGAACAACTTGGTTTGTACATGAAGAAGGATGAAGAGGAAGAAGGTGAACCGCCTACCGTTCCAAAGCCCGTAAATAATCCGGAGGATGGAGAAATAGACTGAAAAATGCATCTTTTATTAGACTAGGTGAGGAGAAATGAAGTAGAGAACATATATCGACTGAACAAATTTCTGTACCCGATCTCATAAATACTTGTAGAATTCTGTGCAAAACCATATTCAATAAAAAGTCGTAAGCAATCCTTTAAACCCTACTGAAATACCTACTATCAAAAATTAGGTTGAGTTGAAAACAGTTTCAGTTTTACAGATGCAACAGTAGTGAATCAGGCATTGCTGGTATCTTTCAAAGCTAAACTGCATACAGAAACCAGCATCCAAAACCACACTAATGGCTGACTGGCAGATAATCAATACAACGAAAGCTTAAACAACAGTTGTGAGCCTTCCCCATTGCCAACCAATGGATACAACCATACAAATCTTATTATATGACATTCCCAGAAACGATTTAATTGTAGAAATGATAATCTTTGGCATTAATAATGATATTCCTCAAACCTCCAATGGGTGATAGAATCATTAGCAGAAGCCCCAGTATGATACATATCTGAATATTTAAAAAACAAATATCAGATTTAATGTCTAGAAAACAGATGACAATACGAGGAAGAAACCTCATCTATGTTACTTAGACTTCAATACTCGGAAATGAAGAGTTCGAGTAACACAGAACTTTAGGATGTTTTAAGTTAAAAATATACCCAGTTTGTACGCCAAGATAAAATGAACCTCTTTGGTTTGTATATAGCAAGCCACATGATGCATGGAAGCTGAAATTACAGAAAATATATATATCAGATGGACATATTTTTTCAGAGTTAACCAGTAGAATTCCAATTGAATAAAGATTCGAAGAATAAAAATGGTTTGGGTACTTACAAAATAGGTTGTTGGTGCAAAGCAAATCCTCCAAAGAATCCAAGAAGACCACCAAAGAAGGGAAACGTAATTGCAACATACATTGTTGCAGCTGAAACAATGAACATATAACATTTCATTCATTTCGGGGCACATAGGAGACCGTTCAAGAGCCAAGATTGCAGATATCATGACTTCAAACTCAGATTTTCGTAAACTTTGGACAGGGAAATTGCTTTACTTACCGACATAGAAGTTGCGGACGAAGAATCAAAGTGTTTGAGTCGGTCTAAAGTGCCATTTCTTTACCATCACCGTTTCGATTATGTCAAAAACAGGCATGGCATATAGCTGCATTTGGCAAACAAAGAAAAACACCAGTGTGAAAACTGTGTACTTGTTCAGCCAACAGAACATCAAGCTGAAGCAGACCAAACATGTTTCCAAACCTGATAGCTTCCGATGACATGGATTACGACAAACATGTTAGCCGCGACTATAAGCCACCTTGGTTTCTCCAATGTAATGAGGATGTTGTCGTCGACTTTGTTGCCAAACATGTAGTATCCAACGAGTGCAACGGGGAAATAACACAATGCCACAACAATTTATGCAATGAGCACACCTCTCCACATTGGACCTTTTGAAGGGATTGTTGCTTGAATCTCCAACACAACATTGTGTCCGGCATATGCAAACGCCACATCTCCTAACGCCGTAAAGAAATTTAAGACGGTTCCACTGGGGGTGTGGGCTTTGTAGCCGTATTGCACGTCAGGTTGGACGCCCTTTTGGACTGAAGCAGTGCAGGCTATGGTAGAGTAACTGCATGAAACAAATTAAAACATCAGTCCAATATGTGGATTTTGTTAAAATGTTTAAAGCTGATGGAAATACATACGTGAGAAACATGACTGCAGCAGCCAAAGAGACCCCAGAAATGGAGTTGAAATTCGGGAGGTGGGCAAGTACGAAATGAACCGAGGAGAAAATCATGATAAAATATGTCGTTTTGATGTCCTTGCATGGCTTGTCGCAGACCAAATGACAGATTTTCTCCAGCGATTTGCCTCCGGTAACCATGTAAACTATGTCAACACCAACTTCAACGATCAGTTGTTGAGGCACCACTATGTAAAGTCCAAGCTTTTCACCAAAGGCATGCTGACCGAGTTCATGGTACCGATCGAACCTTTTCCCAGGAACCATCTCATGCATCTTAACCATTTGCCACAGTGTATAGTGTGACGACCCATAACAGGATCAAAATCACAACACCAGGACCCCTTCATATATACATAGTCAAATATTAATCTTTCTTCATATCATATGCATGAAAACCTATTAGTCTCGAACTACAGTCCACAAAGATCGATTGCAAAAAAAAAAGGATCGATCCCTGAAAGAAACGGAATAAGTAAATCAAGACATACCATCCGAGATGTGACATGGCATAAGGAAGACTGAGGACGCCTGCACCAACCATAGCCGTGACGTTGTGGAATGCAGCATACCACCATTTTGCGTCTCTTGAAGAAGTGATTGGAAGCCAGTCATCAATCTCCTTCTGCTTCTTTACTTTATCTTCATCCACCTGGAAGTTCATAACAAAAACTCATTCATCTTTCTCTCAAATTGAATTCTACAAAACACATTCCCGTCCATCGTTGTTCGATGTTCAAAATGGAACTTACCTTGTTCGTAGGATCGAGCTTTTGATGAGGAGGAGATTCAGTCCCCATTGTTGAAACATGAGCTTACACAGTGCCAGAAACTATGTTGGAAGAAGATGATGATGATGATGATCAACAAATAACTATGAAGCATTCAACAAAGAAATATATATTTGATTGGTAGTTTCAAAGAAGGTGAATCAAGCAAACGACAACAAATGTAAAGCAAACTCCGCCAAGACAAATTCGTAAAAAATATTACGACATACTACTTTTGATTCTGATATTTGTTTTCATCCATTTCCAAATGTCATTGTTCTGCAATGACAAAAAAATCCAATGCATGTTAAATATCTTTTCATATGTTTAGAATATTAAAACTTTACGAAGTAATATGCATCATCAGACAGTTTTTTCCAGTTATTGTTGTATGATTCGAAGCGTATGAGAAATTATTGCCGAATAGAGCATTTGCATTAATTAGAATAATACAACTTGGTAATTCAAAGTAGGTCCACAGATAATAACATTTGAGTCTTGCAGTTTCCTTCTTCGATTTGATGAATATATTACCTCATTTATTGACATTTTTGCATCTCTATTTTCTGATAACGACTTACTATGAAAGGGAATGGATGGTTGATTCTCCTTGTATTGTTGCAGGCTAGGCACATAATAGCCTCCATACATTTTGTCATATGCGTATACAAATAAAAAAAAATTAGCTGACCCTTATTGCCATATGTAATGGGGTAAGGGAAGGTAAGATAGTAGGCTGCCCCCAACGCCAGGTTGAGAACAGCTTCCGTAGGAGACCTCCATATTATGAAATGCCCTCCGTGGAACTCCATCCCACGACCTCAAGATTAAGAACCTTGTGCTCTGCCAACTGAGCTGGATGGTCATTTTATACGTATACAAATAAGATCCTATGAATGCATGAGCATACTCATTCAACACTCGGATTCGAGGCCGGCCTTAAAACAGCATAAACCTCGCAATTTGTATTTTATTGATGTTGATATAATTTGTACCCACAATGCTTTCAGATAAGTACTTGAAAAAACTGACTGATTTCTCAAATGCAAAATTCATGGCATAAAACTACTCTTCTGCTGCAGACTCCTTCAAACAGATATTTAATCTTAATTACCCTAATAATTGGTTTATATTCTGCAAACTTCTAGCATAAAACCCTATGAATTGATTGATAATAGGCCTATATGCCTATAAATTTCTTCACTGTCTGAAGACAACAATTCAAGAGTAAAATTTGTAGTCTTTGGCTTGAATTATGATTTGCCTCAATCCTCCAATAGGTGATAGGACCATCAATAAAACACCAATTACAATGCAGATCTGAGGGGGAAAAGAAAAAGGAAACCCAAATAAGATCAACTAAATAAGGAAATAAGGTTAATAAGCTTTGAATCAAGTTTTCTTACCCAGTTAGTCCACCAAGATAAGCCGAATTTTTTCGGTTTGTAGATGACAAGCCACATGATACAGGGGAGCTGAAGAACAAGAAAGAAATGAGTTCTTGATGTGAAAATTCTTCAAAGAGAATTGTTAGTTTTTGTGATGATGATGTGGCTTACGAAGTATGTTGTTGGTGCAAACGCGAGTCCTCCGAAGAAACCAAGAAGACCACCGAAGAACGGGAAAGTAATCCCGAAGAACATCGTTATTGCTGCAATGAAAATGTGTGATGCATGAACTTACATTCAAGTAGGTTGAAAGAAACAAAGAGTTTTGGTTTCACTTACCAACATAAGAATTGCGAACAATGAATCGGAGCATTTGGGAAGGCGGGAAGTCTAGTTTCTTTACTAGCAGAGTTTCGATCATGTCAAACACCGGCATTGCATAGATCTATAGAGACAACATAAACCGACGCCTAATTGATTAAATCTGAACCAAAAAGATAATAAAAACACCACCTGATACGAACCTGGTAGCTTCCGATAACATGAATAACAACAAACATGTTGGCCATTGCAATGAGCCATGCTGGTTTCTCCAATGAGAGAAGGATGTTGTCTCGGACAGAATTGCCAAACATCCAGTATCCGATTAAGGCAACTGGGAAGTAGCACAAGGCAATGACTATGTATGCGACAACGACACCTTTCCACATCGGTCCCTTTGATGGCCTCTCGGGAGTAGATTCGATCGTAGCTTGGATCTCCAACACCACATTGTGTCCAGAGTAAGCAAAAGCTATATCTCCCAAGCCACTGAGGAAGCCAAACACAGTTCCGGGCGTAGTCGACGCTTTGTAGCCATATTGCACATCATCCTGAACACCCTTAGATAGTGAAGCTGCCCAAGCGATGGTCGAGTAACTGTGTGAGAAAAACCAATCACCAAATCTTGAGTTAACATTTATCAATAAGGCACAACAGAGGATGTGAATTGTGAATTTGTTATATACCTCAAGGACATGACAGCAGCAGCTAAGGAAACACCAGAAATCGAGTCGAAATTAGGAAGGTGAGACAGCACAAATTCGACAGAGGCAAAAATCATGATGAAATAGGTCAGCTTAATTTGTTTGCAGCTAGGACAGACAGTGTCGTGGAACTTCTTCAACGATTGGCCACCGGTAACCATGTAAACAATGCAGAGACTAACTTCAACAACAAGTTGCTGTGGAAC